TGCTTCGTGGCATTGCGAGCGGTGTGACCGGCGTCGTGTCGAAGCCGCTGGAGGGCGTAGCGGAGGGTGGCGCTGCCGGGCTTGTGCGCGGCGTAGGCGCCGGTCTGCTCGGCGTTGTGGCTAGCCCCGTCGCCGGGCTTCTGGCGGATGTGTCGAGGGTCGCAGGTGCCGCGTCGCATCTTTGCAGCGACAGCTACATCCCAGAGGTGCGCCGCATGCGGAAGCTGCGCGACTTCCACGCAGTGGGCGCAGTTGCCGACTATCAGTCCATCAAATCAGTGTTCGAGTACGAGCGCGGCGAGCACAACGGGTCGCGGTGGATCGGCAACAGCCTCCTCCCCACAGACGGGCCGCAATGGTACCCGCGCTCCAAGGACCAGGCGCAGAAACAGGTAAGCGGGACGGTGCCAGAGGCGTGGCAGGTAGAATTGTACGACACCAACTTCGAGGGCTGGCGGGTTGCGAGCAAGTACTACGGCNGTGCCAGAGGCGTGGCAGGTAGAATTGTACGACACCAACTTCGAGGGCTGGCGGTTTGCGAGCAAGTACTACGGCGTCTACACACGGGATCAGGTGCAAACAGCGCGGATGCGGCGGCGGCGCTGGGTCGCGGTGCTGCGGCAGCCACCGATCTCACGTGTGGTGCAGCTTGTGCAGCAGATCGGCGCTACTCCAGCTCCTATTGACTCTTCTTCCCCCGCGTCGGGTGCTGCTACTACTGCTACTATTGCCGGAGCGGCAGCAACACTAGCCACGTCACCTCCATTACAAGCGGGGTCTGCAGCTGTGGCGCCCACCATGGTGCAAACTGGGAAGACAGCGGCGTCCGCGCCGGCGGCCGAAGCGGGGCAAGCAATACATCCACACCCTCAGCAGCAGCAGCAGCAGCAGGAACAACACCAAAACCCGCAAGGACAACAGCAAGGAGAAGAACAGGCTTCACAGCTGCCCGGAAGCGATAATATGGTGGAGCTGTACGAGTACGAATCTAGGAAGCCGCTAATAGGATGGAGCGGCCTCTTTCTCCCGACCGGCTACCACTCGTGGCAGGACCGCAGCGGCCGTGCAACCCCGCGCAGGTCTGAGTTCGTGCTGCCGCCGGGCTTCGAGTGGGCGTCGGATTGGGTATGCGTCGACGGCGACGTGAGCGGCTGGGAGTATCTGCGACGGGAGGGTGACGGCGCACGGAACCTGCGCCGCCGCTGCTGNGGAGGGTGACGGCGCACGGACCCTGCGCCGCCGCTGCTGGCGACGGGCCGTGCGCAAGTCGAACTGAGCATTGGCCTCTCAACGGCAAAGAAAAAAAAGAATAAAATGGGGCAAACAAGAGAAGAGAGGATATTTTCTCATAAGGGGCACGCGGCATTTGCGTGGTTGAGTGGGGCGGGTGAGATACCGCTGAGTGCGGAAGGGAGGAGACACACACACACACAGCAACACGAGGGAGTACGGCGCAAGGGACGCCTTCACCACCACCACCACCACCACCAACGAGGGCGTGTGGGCTGCGACGGTGGCGGGGCGAAAGGAAGCGAAACAGCAATAACAAAAACAAATTGAACGAAAAATACAAGTACATTCTTATATATATATATATATATATANTGAGAGTTAAACGAGAAGCGGTGGAGTGGTGCATTGGGGTGCCCAGGGCGTGGCCTGCGGCTGCGGCGCGCGTCCCCCCCCCTTCAGTCCGCACAGCGCACACACCGGCGAGCAGAGGAAAGAGAACCAACCCTCTCACTCAACGACGACAACAACAACAACAACAAAAAAGAATGAATAAAGCAACAATACCAGGGAAAGATCAACGGCAAAAAAATGAAAACCAAGAAAGAGGAAAAGTAGGAAAAAGAGCCTAGAATGCATGCCACAGTGTCCCTGTCTTCGCTTCTGTGAAAAAGCATCGCCAGGAGATGCGTTGAGGGGGAATGTGCCCGCCTCGGACGAAGACACACACAAAGACGCAGAGAATGACGATGCCAGTGAACATTGCTACTCCTTCCCCCCCCCTCGTTGCGGACGCACACAGCTGTTTATCCCTCTTGCTGCTGCTGCGTTTNCAGTGAACATTGCTACTCCTTCCCCCCCCCTCGTTGCGGACGCACACAGCTGTTTATCCCTCTTGCTGCTGCTGCGTTTTGTTTTCAGTTTGGGCTTTGTTTTTGCTGTGCTTTCCACCGCAGGTGTTTCCCTTTCACCAGTGATTAAGAACACACACACATATAGCCAGCGCCGTGATGCCGGAGCAGCCGAACCAGCCGACGCGGCTGCAAGAGCCGGGGCAGCAGGAGCCGCTAACGCCCCACCGCCACACACCGCCGGCAGCAACAGCAGCAGCAGGAAGTCCCGGCACTGCACCGATTCTGCAGGGGAAAGCGCCGGCTCAGTCGCCTGCGAGATAGAGCGAGGCCGCAGAGTACACACACACACACACACACATATCTATATTTATATCTACAGACATGCACTGGCAGGGGGCCTGACAGCAGAGGGCGTGCATGTATGTCTGCTTGCGTGGGCGAGAGGGAAAAGAGGGGCAAAAAATGAAGGGGGGAAAGGATGGGGCGAGGCTCACCAGGCATTTAAAAGAAAAACAAGAATAGAAAAAAAAACTAGAAGGACATAAGGGAAATCGAGAGAGAGAGAGAGAGCAAGTGTGTGTGTGTGTGTGCGTGTCAACGAGAGGCGGCCGCGGAGGAAAGACGCGAAGAGAAGACGAAAGCCATACATACACATATATGTGTGTGCGAGGGCGGAGGCGTGTGTGGTGTTGTGGGGGGAACTGGCGACGTTTTATATTTGCATTGCCGCTGCGCCCCACAGCAGGAAATGCACACACATAATCCACCTCACGCAGGAGGGAGCTGCCGCCACGCGGCGACAGCAGCAGCAACAACAACACTCAACTAAACAAGCGTCCACCGCAACACTGGACCGCACACACACACACACACAGAGAGAGAGAAGAGCACCGTTGCGGCGTGGCAGATGTGTGGAGCGCACGGCGGCGGCAGTGGAAGGAGTTTTGGGCCGTGGGCGTACGGTGAATGCACCCCTATTCCATGTCTGTCTGTCTCTCTGTCTGCGTGCGTGGTGCTGTGTATATGCCTCTGAAGCCCCTCCATTCGTGTTGACTTTGTTAGGCAACGAGAAACAAAAAAAAGATCTCCTTTCGATTACCTTTGACCTTTCTTGTGTTTGATTGTTTTTTCTGTGGGCTCTCCGTGATGGGAGCGTCTGTGTGTGGCTGCGGCGTGTGAGTCTTTTCTTGTGACCGCCCTGCGCCGTGCCGTTGTTGCTTCTGCCAACCCCCTCCCTCAGTCTGCATCTGTGCGCGTGGGCGTGTCTCTGCGTGGCATATCCGCTCCTGTGTTGTCCCTTCTGTACTGTTGTTGCCAATGCACAGGGAATATATCCACTCGCTCACACCGTAGATATATATATATATATATAGGAACCCCACTGTGAGCAGCGTGCGGGTGTAGAGACAAGAACAACAACAACAGCAGCAGCAGCAGCACGTGCCCTCCCCTCCTCCATCCACGCGTAATACCGTTGCATTCGCCCCGGCGGCCTACATACATTGGTGATTGAACTAGCCGCAGTGGATTGTGCGCCAGACAGGGGCAGGCGAATAGAGTAGCGGAAGAAATAAAAGAGAGAGAGAGACCAGGGAACAAATCACATAGCTCCTCCAAAGCAAAACCAAAAACAACAACAACAACAACAAGAAGAAGCCGGCACAGGTGCAAGTGTGCTGCGTCGGTGCGCACGTCTCTTTCTCCATATTCTTACCGATAGTAGATCGCTTGGTAGGTGCGAGTGTGTTGCCGGGCAAATGCAGAACGTGCACGCGACTCCCTCCGCTGCGTCGACGCCGCACAACGATGCGTGCAGAAAGAGCAACACGAAGGGCATCACATACCCCAACGAGCAGCGAGCCGCGCGGCAGCTGAAACTCGCCTTCCCCGACGCGGACGCCGAAGTAGTGCAGGAGCTCGCGTTCCTCGTCGCGGCACGGCGCCACACCATTCAGAACGCCGTCACTATTCTGACAAACATGGAGCTGGCGAACAACGGCGGTGTGGCAGGCAACATCAACAGCACCGCGAACAACAATAGCAAGAACAATATCAACAATGAGAACAACAACGCCCGCAGCAATAATATTGCCCACAGCGGCACTGACAACGCCCACCATCACAACAACGGCAAGGTGCCTTCCACGGCGGCTGCTGGAGTGCCACCAGCTCAGCGTGCCTCGCCACCAAATGCCGTAAAGACCCATGTTGAGCATCGTGCTGGCGGCGACAACGCACATCCACCCAGCACATCGGCAAAGCACCCGCAGCCGACACCGCACCAGCGCACTGCCGTCAGGCGCAACAGCGACATGGCGAAGACTGGAGCAAAGGCGACACTGTTCACAACCACCATGACGGGTGACCGCCGAGTCCGTGATCACTGCCGGCAAATCGAGACGCTCTTGTATCTGAAGCGCATCCAATACGAGACGGTTAATGTGGCGGACGATGCCTTAAAACAGCGAAGCCTGCGCGAAATGTATGCGGCGTCGTCAGGCCGCACAGGGGCGCCACCGACACCGGCGCTCTTTGTGGGTGACCACTTCCTTGGCAACTACGAAATGCTGCAGGAGATGGAGGATGATGGGGTGCTGATGGAGAAGATGCGACAGCTGGGCTACTCTGGGGCCCCGCAGTAGCACCAGCCGAGGAATGAGGAAAAAAGAAAAAGAAAAAAGAAATAATGAGAAGTGAAATAAGGGTGGATGTTTGCGACTTTAGGGAGAGGCTGAAGGGGCTCATCTGGTTGTGTGCTTGTTTCGTGGTCCTTGGCGTCTTGTGGGTTTTGTTTTTTGTTTTATTATTGACGTATGAGCTCTCATGCGTTTTCATTCTCTCGCTTTTGCGTGTGTGCTGGTTTCGTGGCGCTCTCCATGTGCCCAGCTCTCTGCCCAGTGCGATGATACCCCGGCACTCTCCCATAAGCATCAGCCATTAACCGACCCACAATATCATTTGCTTTTATTGCTGCTACCTTTTTTTTT